CAATCGCCAATGCAATTTTCAATCATCTAGTGATCTCCATATTCATGAAAATTATATATATTTTTCAATTAAAGATTAAACTCTCTCCATTATGAAGTATATGATAAATCGTAGGAAATAAATCATTGGATCGCTCATATTACCTCCAATATCTCTAATGAGCTAATCATATCACTTTTGGTGGCTCAAATAATGACTAATCCTTGATTGGATTACTTTAGGAAGTTGAGGAAATCCATAAGATTATTTTGAAAGAATTATCCATCTTTCATGGCTCTTTGACCAATCAACTTCTTATTATCTTTGAACATCATAAATGAAACCGCCTAACCAACCCCAATTAATTAGATCAAATGATAACATACTGAAAACTTCACACCAATAATTCATTTATGGGCATATATTATGTAAGTCATGAATGCATTTAAATCATTATGCTTGCCTCACCCATTAGATGGATTCTAAAATCAGTACACTCTATAATGTGACTTTCACAATAGTCTCATTTAGTTCCATCAACTCCACCAAGCAATGCAATCACCTTCAGGAAGAAAGTAAGCAAGCTACTCTTCCAGGAATTTATAGAACAATTCATATTTTATTGAGTTGTGATTTTTTTTTTTTTGAAAAATAGATAAAAGTTCAATTATATTTGAAGTTATTTTTGGCAAAGAAAAAAAGTTTTCCATATATGATATATATATAATTTCCTGGAATAAAATATAGCTAATATATATATATATATATATAATTTCAAGACACAATAAAATTTTTTAATTATGATTATTATTATGTTTTATCTCTAAATTTAAAAGCTTATAAGATGGTCCATTATTATATAACCCCTAAGAGGCCATTATGATAGACAAATGCGTCTCTATTTAAAAATCCCTAGAAAATGGACCCTTTGAGAGTGTAAAGCTTGGCAAGGGTTTTATATCAAAAGGTTTCCCCAAGAATTTAAAATTATATAAATCACTAGAGGGCATGAAAATAGGCAAAAAAAAATTCATCTAAATGATCTCAAAGAGCATGTTGATTGGGAATCCTTTATGGCACCCTTTTTAGGTAAGGTCCACACTAGAGATTTCTAATTAAAAGGGCTTATTATCATATGAACAAAAAAAAAGGAAATAATACAACAAATAAAAGTAAATACTAGTCAATTACATATATAGATGTATTAATGATATTCTATTTCATCTAGGGGTAATATCTTTCGAGGGCCTTCATCATGCTCTTTGATATTCCAAGATGAGCCTCCTAAACATAGTCTAGATCATATCATTAGTTTAGCAACCCTGATAATTCAATAAGTGCCCTACAGGGTGACTTTGTGTATTTGTTTATTGGAGAAATATATCTTCAATCAATTCACTTCATTGGCCTTATGAGTGATGGTGAGTATAATAATGAGGACCACAACATATCCCCACCTTTGTTATATTATTTTCTCCAAGACATACAAACAAGTGTGATTAACTTTAAATATATGTTAGAGCCCTAACATATATTTTTATATTAAATCTAAAATAATTATGAAAGGAAAAGAAAAAAATAACAAAAACCTTTGAGATATAAACTGTTTTGAAGACCTCAATCCAATAATAGTAAGCGCATAAAACTTTTGATTGTTGTAGGATAGAAAATTTTAACTAACAGCCATGCCATGATTTTTATAAGAAAAAAAAAA